TAACATATCATCATGAAGGTGACCACCCCGGTTTCACCGGCATTGAGACTCGCCAGAACCCCCACCCCTCCGCTTCCCGTAACCCCTACGGCCACAACGTCGGTGTTACCGACTTCCTGAGCAATGTCTCCCGCTTCAAGATCATTGAGAGTACTCTTCGTGAGGGAGAGCAATTCGCCAACGCTTTCTTCGACACCGAGAAGAAGATCGAAATCGCCAAGGCCTTGGACGACTTTGGTGTTGACTACGTGAGTCATCCTGGGTGGTGGACAGGGTCGAGCCGTCGTGGAGCTTGTGCACTGACCACTTCCCATAGATCGAGCTCACCAGCCCCTGCGCTTCCGAGCAGTCGAGAAAGGACTGTGAGGCCATCTGCAAGCTTGGCTTGAAGGCTAAGGTATGTTAGCCACGCCGTCCGCAGATTCAGGAATTCTCGTCCAGAGCTAATGAACCTTAAGATTCTCACTCACATCCGTTGCCACATGGACGATGCTAGAGTCGCCGTCGAGACCGGTGTTGATGGAGTGTAAGTTATTTCTAAGGCTTCTGCTTGCGCGACTATCTCCTAACGAGTCGATAGCGATGTCGTCATCGGAACCTCCTCCTACCTCCGTGAGCACTCTCACGGCAAGGACATGACCTACATCAAGAACACCGCCATCGAAGTTATCGAGTTTGTTAAGTCTAAGGGTATTGAGATCCGTTTCTCCAGTGAGGACTCCTTCCGTTCCGACCTGGTCGATCTCCTGTCCATCTACTCCGCCGTCGACAAGGTTGGTGTCCACCGTGTCGGTATCGCCGATACCGTCGGTTGCGCCTCCCCTCGCCAGGTTTACGAGCTCGTCCGTGTGTTGAGAGGTGTCGTGGGTTGCGATATTGAGACTCACTTCCACAACGACACCGGCTGCGCCATTGCCAACGCCTACTGTGCCCTGGAGGCTGGTGCTACTCACATTGATACCTCCGTTCTCGGTATCGGTGAGCGCAATGGTATCACCCCTCTTGGTGGTCTCATGGCCCGCATGATGGTTGCCGACCCCGAGTACGTCAAGAGCAAGTACAAGCTTGAGAAGCTGAAGGAAGTCGAGGACCTCGTCGCCGAGGCCGTCGAGGTCAACATTCCCTTCAACAACTACATTACTGGATTCTGCGCCTTCACCCACAAGGCCGGCATCCACGCTAAGGCCATCCTGAACAACCCTAGCACCTACGAGATTATCAACCCCGCCGATTTCGGCATGAGCAGATATGTCCACTTTGCCTCCCGTCTGACCGGCTGGAACGCCATCAAGTCGCGTGCCCAGCAACTCAACATCACGATGACGGATGCTCAGTACAAGGAGTGCACTGCCAAGATCAAGGCTCTTGCTGATATTCGTCCCATTGCTGTCGACGATGCTGACAGCATTATCCGCGCCTATTACCGCAACATCAAGTCGGGTGAGAACAAGCCCCTCCTTGACCTTACGGCCGACGAGCAGGCTCAATTCGCTGCCAAGGAGAAGGAGATTGCTGAGCAAATCACTGCTTAAGCCCCGTGGCTTGACCGCCTTTCGTCCAAGTTGCAAGCGCCGCCATTGAATCACATCAATGGGATTAGAGGGTCGCGTTTTTAGAGATTTTCCTTTTCTGTTCCTGTTCATGCTTGCAGCGAGTGGGTCTCTTTCCTGCGGGAAGATGTTTCCATTTTACTTTCATCCTCATGATTTCTACGTTTATGTGTCAAGGATCTTGATCTGGTTGTTATTTCTATGGGGGTTTTCAAAAAGTCTTCTTTGTCCCTGACTCAAAAAAGGAGATTCGGTGTTGGGGAAGAGATTTTGGGTCCTTTTTTTGGTTTTTGGACCGTGTATATACGCAGATATCGACGTTCAAACTGCATTCCACACAAGAGACTGACTGCTTGAGATAGACTATTCGGTAGTATTCGATGTTCATTCCTTGCTCTGAATCGAGTCGAGTCAAGTAAATTGTAAACGAGGAAAAAGCGGTGGTTTCCGTATGCGGAGTCTGGCATTGGCATGTGGCATGTGGAAATCGTTGAAGCCGAGGCAGCCTTCCGAGGGGCGGTCTTATCGCCGCCGGCTTCCATTTCCTGGACCATCCGACCGAACTAAACTGCAGTAACCGCCCGCGGCCCTTTCCTCTCTTTCCCCAGTCACCTTCGTCATCCTCTCGGAGGTCGTTCTCAATCGACTCGCCTCCCTCCCCCCATCTTCTTATTGACTGACCATTTATTCATAATGGCACCATCTGTTCTTCCTGTTGCCTTGCAGAACAAACTGCTTGGCTACAGCAGGGCTCCCAACTCGCAACTCGCAGCTCTGCAACTGGATGTGTAAGTTCATGAGGTCATCTGCACCGCATTGCCTTTCCCCGCGTGGCAGCGCGGACAGTCCCTAGCCCATGGGGCGACCATCAAGCTTGTCCTTGGTTCCGGTCTCACTAACAAACATCTCAATCATTCGTGTCTCAGTATTCGGAATATCGTTTTCATTCTATTCGTTCTCCGCTACGTTCGCAAGGCGTATCATTCACTCCGCGGCTACGGCCTCTTCGGCAGCATCCGCAATGTCTACTCCGCCGTCCGTCTCTTCTGCTACTCCGTGTTCTTGCGATTCCCCGGCGTTAAAGGCCAGGTTGACAAGCAAGTGTCCACAGCAATCGAGGGCTTAGAGTCGAAACTCGTCGCCAGCGGTCCTGGTGTTACCAGGTATCTGACTCTACCCAAGGAAGGATGGTCGGCCGAGCAAATTCGCGCCGAATTGAATAACTTGGCGAATATGGAACATACACGCTGGGAGGATGGTCGCGTCAGCGGTGCTGTGTACCATGGAGGGCAGGATCTCCTCAAGCTACAAGCGGAAGCCTTCGGCCAGTTCGGTGTCGCGAACCCCATTCACCCAGATGTGTTCCCTGGTGTTCGGAAGATGGAAGCTGAAGTTGTCGCTATGGTACGTAACTCTCTCCTTTGACTTGTGTGGGATTGTCAGCTCACGTATGTCATCCAGGTCCTCGAGCTGTTCAATGCCCCCTCCGATGGCGCGGGTGTCACGACCAGCGGCGGAACAGAATCCATCATCATGGCTTGCCTTGCTGCACGGCAGAAAGCATATACCGAACGGGGTGTCACCGAGCCTGAAATGTGAGTAGAAGCGCTTCGCAAATCATGTGTGCCCGTCGACTTGCTGATACCCTCTGAAGGATCATTCCCGATACCGCCCACGCTGCCTTTATCAAGGCTTGCAACTACTTCAAGATTAAGCTTCACCGCGTTGCTTGCCCGGCCCCGGACTATAAGGTCCATATTCCATCAGTTCGGCGGTTGATCAACTCCAACACTGTTCTTATTGTCGGATCTGCGCCGAATTTTCCTCATGGTATTGTTGACGACATTCCCGCTCTGTCTCGACTGGCAACCTCGTACAAGATTCCCCTACATGTCGACTGTTGCCTGGGCTCCTTTGTTATCGCGTTTCTCAAGAAAGCGGGCTTTGCCTCTCCGTATGAGGAAGAGGGCGGCTTTGATTTCCGTTTACCCGGTGTGACCAGCATTAGCGTGGACACTCACAAGTATGGCTTCGCGCCAAAGGGCAACTCTGTGCTTCTGTACCGCAACAAGGTATACCGCAGCTATCAGTACTTCATTTACCCTGACTGGTCTGGAGGCGTTTATGCGTCTCCATCCGTCGCCGGCTCGCGGCCCGGTGCGCTGATCGCAGGCTGCTGGGCTAGTCTGATGAATGTGGGTGAATCTGGTTACATCAAGAGCTGCCACGAAATTGTTAGCGCAGCGAAGAAATTCGAGTCGTCAATCAAGGAGCACTCAATCTTGTCGAAGAACCTGGAGATCGTCGGAAAGCCCATGGTCAGCGTCGTTGCCTTCGAAAGCAAGAATGACGCCGTTGATATTTACGATATTGCTGATGATTTATCCGCAAAGGGCTGGCACCTGAACGCTCTTCAAACACCTCCTGCTATCCACGTGGCTTTCACTGTTCCCACAGCTTCGGCAGTGGATGCGCTTACCAATGATTTGGTCGAGGTTGTTGAGAAGGAGCTGGAGAAGGCCGAGGAGAGGAAGCGGCAGGGCAAGTCGTATATTGTCAAACGTGGAGACACCGCAGCTCTCTATGGTGTGGCTGGTAGCATGCCGGACAAAAGCATCGTCAGCCGCCTGGCAGAGGGATTCCTCGACACTCTGTATAAAGCATAGACAGGTCTGTGACCTAAAATAATTGGCATTGTCTATATAGTCTTGGAAACGCGAGAGGCACCTCGCGCACGAACTCTTCGAATGGGGTCGTCTCCTTGTGCAAATAGTTGATTTGCGGTTTGTCGGTGTCATGAGCGGCTTTTGCATGATTTTTATTCTTCCAACAATCGAGTATTATTGTTATCATGAGAAATCCACGCAGTATTGGTATCAGGCATGTTTGATTCACATGAACAGAGCCATTCTGTAGAACATGGCAGCAAAAGAGATACTATAGTACAAATGACCGGGCCGATGGAGGATGCAGAAAATCGACCTGCTAGAGCCACACACACACATTTTGGCCGGTGGAGTAGCCAAACCCGGAAATGAACCGCTTCATGCAAGAAGGACCCAGCAAGGTCCGGACTCGAGAGTACTCCTTCGAGCCCTCCTCGGAAGAAATCTCCAATCCGACGCATGACAAGCCCGATCAGAGGCGCAAGGCGTCACCGTTGCAAGCCATTGCTGGGATATGCAATTGTTATAACCGATTCCTTCCCCATTTCGACTCCCAAAATCACATAACCAGAAAGCCCGATCAACCCCCTTCTTCCCTTCCCCAGACGAACAGCCCTCGAAACAGAGAAAGGATTTGTGGTGGTCAAGCGTAGATTGGACACGACATAAGAATTAGAAAAAAAAAGCCGCGAAAACGAGAAGCAAGCAGCAGAAAACGGGGCTAGACAGAACCAAAGGAAGAGAAAAAAAGTTGAAGTTTCAGAAAAGAAAGAGGACAGCTTTTTCAAGCCGTTCTGTTCTCCTTGTATTCCGCCCCGGAGTACTTCTCGACGTAGTAGCCCGGGTCGGGCTTGCGCTCCAGGCGCACCTCCTGCTTCGTTAACCGCTTGTCCACCTCGCGGACCTCGACTAGCTCCTTGACCTTCATGATCTGGCCGGCGACGGAGGGCGAGACGGCGTGGAAGACGGTGGCCATGCGCTTCTTGAGGCCGAGGGCCTTAAGGACGTCGGTGGTGCGGCGCGGGAGACCGATGGCGGAGCGGACCAGGGTGATGCGGAAATAGCTCATTGTGAGTTTTGTGGATTTGTTGTGGTGGAGGGGGTTTCTTGTAATGTGTTGGACAGCTCGAGAGGGTTGATTTATACGAGCGTAGATGGTTCTCGGGGGTTGCGGAGTTTTGTTGGATTGGTTATCGAATTTTTGGAGGGGAGGGTGGATGGAAGGTGGAGGAGGGTTTTGAGTGACGCGACTGCACGATTAGATGCGGTGCGAATGTTTCGGAGTTTGAGGTTGGATTTTGTGTGTTTCTGTTCCAATTGCTCGATCGTAGCAAGTTATCGCGTGTCTGGAAAGAATACTGTTGCTGCTACTGCTGCTGCTGCGCTGCGCTCCAGCGCGATCGCTCCGGCCGCAAAATTCCCGATCTTCCGTCGGTCTGCCAGGCGGGAAGTCACGTGATGCGGGCTTTCTGCCGGGGGGTTCGAGTGGCTTGCGTCGGTCGGCGGGCGGGAATTACGGGGGAGGAGGATTAAGGTGAGACTACTGAGTTACTCCGTGCTATCGAATAGCTTTGCAAGAACAACGAGAGGGATTTTCCAGCTGTGTGGTAAGACTTGAGGATGAGCCATTGGTTAGTGTTACTCCTACAGTCTGTTTGAAAAGGGAGGGTTTTGATACTGATACTTGCATCATCCCATCTCATAGATTCCCTATAATTAAAGCGCTGCGCGTGTCAAGAGGGGCTTCCTCGTTCATTCTATACAAGTCGCCTGTCGCTCTGATCTCACCTTGCGACCGTGCAGCCTTGCGGGTGCACTGAACTCCTACTCATGAGATACGACATATAAGACAGAGATACTTGATCTGAACCTTTATTCGACGTCGATATAATCTGCCTTCTCCTTCCAGCAAACCCCCCGTACCTCTCGGAGCTTGAGCCAGCTTCCCGATCGCGACCCGTTTGGTGATACACCTTCACACGGGCGTCTAAATATACATCGCCTCCATTGAAAACGACAGAATCCTGACCGCAATGGCGCGAGGCGAAGACAACAATGGCACGGTGGCCATGCCCCGACTGGAAGATATCCTCCGGTACCCGGAGGACCTGGACAAGATCGTCGCCCTGAAGGCCGAGTACTCGCGGAAGAAAGGCGCCGTCGACGCGCAGCTGCGCGAGGGGCTTCGGGACCAGCTGGAGTCCGTCCAGCGCAGCATCAACGCGCTCACCGAGGGCCAGCGGCAGGTGTCCAAGACCAAGGACGAGCTGCAGGGCATCGACAAGCTGTGCGCCGAGTCCCAGAACAGCGTGGAGGACTTCTCGCAGATCGACAAGTTGGCCAAGGTGCAGCGGAACTTCGAGGCGACGCTCACAATGAAGAAAGGGCTGGAGATGTTCAGCGAGAACCTGGCGGTGGTCGAGGATCTCCTGCGGGAGGACGACGACGACCTGGAGAACCAACCGAACCTGCTGAAGGCCCACATGCAGATTTCCCGGCTGCGCGACTTTCGGGACGAGGCGATGGATCAGATCCGCAAGGCGCAGGACTCGAGCAGCGAGCAGACGCTGGGGGACTTTTTCCAGGGCCTGGATTCCGTCATCGACTGGTTCGATGATCATCTGGGCACGGCCTGCATGAACCTCATCCCGCTGGTGCAGTCGGACAACCCGGGCATGGTCGTTCGGCTGGCGGTGGTGGTGATGAACGAAGAGAAAAACGACGAGACGGTGCGTGCGCTGCAAGAGGCTCAGAAGGACCACCAGGACCTGGCCGATCGGTTCAAATCGATGAACGTGGGGCCCAAGACCGTGCGGGGTTACAAGGAGAAGTTCCTGAAGGCAATTGAGTTCTATGCCCAGAACCAGTTCGAAGAGGCCAAGGAGGAGTTCCTGGCCAACCCCGACAATCTGGACAAGAGCCTCCGGTGGTTCTTCAACGATCTTTACACGGTTCAGCAAGGCATGCAGCCGCTGATGCCGAAGAAGTGGAAGATCTACAAAACGTACACGAACACGTATCATTGCATGATCCATGATCTCTTCATCGGGATGATCAACGACCCGGAGCTGCCGGCCGACAACCTGCTCGCGATCATTCACTGGACGGAGAAGTACTACAAGAAGATGGCCAAGCTGGGCTGGCAACCGGCCGACCTCCAACCCAACCTGCTCGACGACCGCGAGCCCGAGCTGATCCGGCAGTGGCAGAACATCATCATCCGCGCCGTGGAGGACTGGACGCAACGGATCGCCGAAACGGAGAAGAAGAATCTCGTGGAGCGGATCCCAGACTCGCTGGACACCAATCCGGAAGGCTGCTTCCGGACCAAGACGCTGCCCGACATGTGGCGGATGCTGCACGAGCAGATCATGGCGTCGGGGGCCTCGTCGCGGACGGACGTCGTGGAGGGCATCATCGACGCCATGTTCGCGGTGCTGAAGAGCCGGCAGACGGCGTGGCAGGCGCTCGTGGACGAGGAGTGCGCTAAGTACAAGGCGCCCGGCGGGGACCAGCTCGAGGGGCTGCAGCTGCTGCAGGACTGGCTGATCGCGATCGCGAACGACCAGATCGCGTGCATCGACGACAACGAGGAGACGGGCCAGCTGGGCTACCTGACGCGGTTCAAGCGGGACTTCGAGACGATCGTGGACCCCAAGTACATGGCGGGGCGAGCGCTGCCGGAGCTGGAGGCGCTGCGCGACGGCTACGTCGACCTCAGCACCCACTGCCTCAACCAGTTCGTCGAGCTCATCTTCGCCGTCGACTTCCGCACCACCATCCCGGACTTCTTCACCCCGAAGTGGTACGGCGACTTCGCCGTCAAGCGCATCACCTCCACCTTCGAGGACTACATGGCCGACTACACTCCCGTGCTCCACCCCTCCCTGATCGACATCCTCGTCGAGGAGCTCTCCGACGAGCTCCTCGTCCGCTACCTCGCCTCCGTCCGCAACCGCGGCGTCAAGTTCCGCCGCCACGCCGATCCTTACACCGACAAGTTCAAGGACGACGTCCTCACCGTCTTCGCCTTCTTCCAGAACTACCCGGACTCCTTCGCCGGCACCATCAAGCAGAGGTGGCGCCTCGTCGACTGGCTCGTCCGCCTGCTCGAGGCCGACAAGGGCCCCGCCCTCGTCGCCGTCTACGAGAGCTTCAAGACCGAGTACTGGGACCTGCAGCTCTCCTGGGTCGAGGCCGTCGTGCGCACCCGCGACGATTTCGAGCGCAGCATGGTCAGCGCCATCAAGGCCAAGGCGGCGGAATTGTCGGTTGAACGGGGCATGGAGACGCTCATGAGCAAGGTCCGGTGATTTTTTATTATGGCATTTTCTTTTGTTGTCGGCTTGCTCTCCCGGCCTTGGACAGAAAAGGGAGCCAGCCGGCTGGCAATGTTCGGCGGCATTTTCTGGTTGTCTGTTTCCAGCGTGGCGTTTTAGGTGTCCCGCCCGGAGAAGATGGTTTTGGGTAATTGTTGAATGCTTATAAACCGCATTTATATAACTACAGAGGAAAAAGCAGGCTGCGTTCCCTCTTAGATCAAACAAAGAGCATTGGTCAGATTTTGCTTCTGTATAATCAGTTGTAGAAGGCCGGCCAGCAACTAGAGCTGCTGAGTAAGGTATGTATGTCCTCTTAGATGAACCTCTAGAATCTACATGTACAAACACCCGTACGCATGAACCCCCCCAACATTTCCAAGTAAAGCTTTTCCTTTCCCGGTCACATTTTCTCTTGTATTATCATAGCAAGCTTCTTTGCGCGATAACCTTGAGCATCATTTTCCGCGCTCTCCCAACCGGGGTGGACTGATCACACCGGTCGTAAAACCCACCTGGGCTGAGCTGGAGGGATTCTAGACGCACATTCTTGGCCCAGACGAAGGAATTGAGCTTGGCGGGAGGACTAGACGTCCCCTGGGCACTTGCCGTGGGGTCCTCCGAGGGGTTCTTCGGCGATTCTTCCGTATGCCAACCCTCGTAGCCATCTTCTCCCTCCTCCTCCATAGAACACTCATGGAAGACATCCGATTCCCATCGGAACTGCTCGTCCATGGTCAGCTCGCAGTGCGGCATCGTCTTCTCTTCGTCGAGATAATAGTCCCGAAAATGGTCGATGAGACCCCGTACGTCCACCGAGTGTTGTAGGATATTATCACCCACCCGGAAACTTGTGCTTGCCACGGTCGTATGAATCTGGTGGATTTTCCATCCTCTCTTGTAGCTGGGCGAGGGCGGGGGCGGGGGCGCGTTGCTTGGGTTGGAAAGCCGGGGGGCGTCAGTGTCATGCTTCGGCTCCGGAGCCGGCTCGGGGTCGTGCTTGGGTTCTGGCGCAGGCGCCGGGGCTTCATGCTTGGGCTCCGGGGCTGGCTCAGGGGCTGGCTCAGGTGCAGGCGCCGGAGCCTCGTGCTTCGGTTCCGGAGCAGGCGCAGGAGTGTCATGCTTCGGCTCCGGAGCCGGCTCGGGGTCGTGCTTGGGTTCTGGCGCAGGCGCCGGGGCTTCATGCTTGGGCT